TTGTTTAGTTGCTCAGTTGTGTCCAACTCTTTGTGACACCATGGACTGCAGCACTCCGGGTTTCTCTGTCCTCCACTATCTTTCAATATCTTTCAGAGTTTGCTCAAATTCATGTCTGTCAAGTCGCTGATGCCATCCATCTCATCCTCTGCTGACCCTTCTCCTGACCTCAGTCTTTCTCAGCATCAAGGTCTTTTCCAGTGTGTCAGCTCTTCACATCAAGTGGCCCAAGTATTGGTGCTTCAGCTTCAGCATCAGTCCTTCCAATGAGTATTCAGTGTTGATTTCCTTTAGGATTGACTGGTAAAAAGGTCTTGCTGTCCAGAGGACTCTCGAGTCTTCTCCACCATAGTTTGAAAGCATCAAGTTTTTGGCACTCAGCTGTCTTTATGGTCCAACTCTCCATGACTACTGGAAAAACTAGTAACCAGCTTTGAGTATAGGCTTCCCTAGTAACTCAGATGGTAAAGCATCCACTTGGAATGCAGGAGACCAGGGTTCAATCCATGGGTCAGGAAGATCCCCTGGAGAAGGAAATGGCAATCCACTCCAGTATTCTCGCCTGAAAAATTCCATGGACAGAGGAGCCTGGTGGGCTGCAGTCCATGGGGTTGCAAAGAGTCAGACAGAACTGAGCTACTAACACACACAGCTTTGACTATACGGACCTTTGTCAGCAAAGTGCTATCTGCTGTTTCATACTCTGTCTAGTTTTGTCATAGCTTTTCTTCCAAGGAGCAAGCATCTTTTAATTTTGTGGCTGGCAGTCACTGTCCACAGTGATTTAGGAGCCCAAGAAAATAAAATCTGCTCCTCTTTGTACATTTTCCGCATCTATTTGCCATGAAATGATGGGACCAGATTTCATGATCTTAGTTTTTTTGAATGTTGAATTTAAGCCAGCTTTTTCACCCTCATGAAGATGCTCTCTAGTTCTGCTTTGCTTTCTGCTTTTAGAGTGATATCATCTGCATATCTGAGGTTGTTGATATTTCTCCTGGCAATTTTGATTCCAGCTTGTGCTTCATCCAGCCTGGGCATTTCACGTGACGTACTCTGCATAGACATTAATTAAGCAGAGTGACAGTATCCAGCCTTGATATACTCCTTTCTCCATTTTGAATCAGTTAGTTGTTCCATGTCCAGTTCTCACTGTTGCTTCTTGATCTACATAAAGATTTCTCAGGAGGCAAGTAAGGTGGTCTGGTATTCCCATCTCTTTAGGAATTTTCCAGTTTGTTGTGATCCACACAGTCAAAGCCTTTAGCCTAGTCAATGAAGCAGAAGTAGATGTTTTTCTGGAATTCCCTTGATTTTTCGATGATCCAGCAGATGTTGGCAATTTGATCTCTGGTTCCTCTGCCTTTTCTAAATCCAGCTTGAACATCTGGAAGTTCACAGTTCTTGTACTGTTGAAGCCTGGCTTGGAGAATTTTGAGCATTTACTTTGCTCAAAAGTACTTAGCGTATGAGATGAGTGCAATTGTGTGGTAGTTTGAACATTCTTTGGCATTGCCTTTTCTTTGGGATTGGAATGAAAACTGACCTTTTTGAGTCCTGTGACAACTGCTGAGTTTTCCAAATTACCTGGCATATTGAGTGTCATACTTTCACAGCATCATCTTTTAGGATTTGAAATAGATCAGCTGGAATTCCATCACTTCCACTAGCTTTGCTTGTAGTGATGCTTCCTAAGGCCCACTTGACCTCACACTCCAGGATGTCTGGCTGTAGGTGAGTACCATACCATCGTGGTTGTCATGATCATGAAGACCTTTTTTGTATAGTTCTTCTGTGTATTCTTGCCACCCCTTGTTAGTCTCTTCTGCTTTTGTTAGGTCCTTGCCCTTTCTTTCCTTTATTGTGTCTATCTTTGCATGAAATGTTCCCTTGGTATCTCTAATTTTCTTTGAGAGATGTCTAGTTGTTCCCATTCTGTGTTTTTCTCTATTTGCATTGTTCACTTAAGAAGCCTTTCTTATCTCTACTTGCTGTTCTCTGGAATTTTGCATTCAGTTGGATATCTTTCCCTTTCTCCTTTGCCTTTCATGTCTCTTCTTCTCTCAGCTATTTGTAAGCCTCCTCTGACAACCATTTTACCTTCTTGCATTTCTGTTTCCTTGGGATGGTTTTGGTCACTGCCTCCTATGCAGTGTTACAAACCTCCGTCCATAGTTCTTCATTCACTCTGTCTACCAGATCTAATCCCTTGAATCTGTTTGCCACCTCTACTGTGTAATCATAGATTTGATTTAGGTCACATCTGAATGGTGATCTGTTGGTTTTCTCTACTTTCTTGAATTTAAGTCTGAATTTTTTAGTAAGGAGCTGATCATCTGAGCCACAGTCAGCTCCAAGTCTTGTTTTTGCTGACTGTATAGAGCTGCTCTGTCTTGGCTGCAAAGAATATAATGAATCTGATTTCTGTTTAGGTGCTAAGTTGTTTCTGACTCTTTGTGACCCCCATGGACTATGGCCCACCGGGATCCTTTCTGTCCATGGGATTTTCCAGGCAAGAATACTGGAGGTGGGTTGCCATTTCCTCCTCCAGGGAATATTCCCTACCCAGGGATCAAACTCGGGTCTCCTGCATTGCAGGTGGGATTCTTTACCTGTCACACATTCTAAATTCTGCTCTTGTTTGTTTCTGGATGCACCCTGTGGCAGGATCATAGTTTGCCAACCAGGGATTGAACCTGTGTCGCTTGTATTGGAAGCACAGAGTCAAAATTTACTGGACCACCAGGGAAGTCTTTAAATTCTGATCTTGTAGTGGGAAGTCAGTCACAGATGACTCAGATTTGGCTAACAGTTACTTTGATGATTCCTGATTTAATTCTAAATACCTATTTTTCTAACCATCTCAAGTTAGGCAGAGAAATCAGGGGGAAGACACACTATTAAGGCAATTTTTAAAATTCCATGTACATAATATAACTAGTCTTTCATATCTAAAGATAACAGTCCAACCAGTTGTCGTAATTTCATCTTCTACATACCTTAAGTTAATGGAGTAGATTTATAAAAGATAAAAAATATTTCACCGGCTTGGGAAAATGTGGTTCTGAGACTTCATTATAAGGAGGGATATAGGATGTGCTAGGGATTTTTCAAACCTACAAAGGCTGTTTCAAAATTTACACCGTTAATAAAGTTCTTGCCTAATCAACACTTTATCTTCATTAAGAGCCTCAATTAAAACAGATTTCTGTATTGACCATCTAGTGATGTCCATGTGTAGAGTCATCTCTTTTGTGGTTCGAAGAGGGTGTTTTGCTATGACCAGTGCATTCTTTTGGCAAAACTCTGTTAGCCTTTGCCATACTTCATTTTGTACGCCAAGGCCAAACTTGCCTGTTACTGCAGGTATCTCTTGACTTCCTCCTTTTGCATTCCAATCCTCTGTGATGAAAAGGATGTCTTTGGTGTTAGTTCTAGAAGTGTTCTACTTTAGTTTCTTCGGCATTAGTGGTTGGGAGCATAGACTTGGATTACTGTGATGTTGAATGGCTTGCTGGAATCAAATGAGATCATTCTGTCATTTTTGAGATTGCGCCCAAGTACTGCATTTTGGACTCTTGTTGACTATGAGGGCTACTCCCATTTCTTCTAAGGGATTCTTGCCCACAGTAGTAGCTATAATAGTCATCTGAATTAAACTCACCCATTCCGGGCCATTTTAGTTCACTGATTGCTAAAACGTCGGTGTTTACTCTTCCCTCTCCTGCTTGACCACATCCAATTTAACCTTGATTCATTGACCTAACATTCCAGGTGCCTATGCAGTATTGTTCCTTATAGCATCAGACTTGACTTTACCACTAGACACATCTACAACTGGGCGTTGTTTTCGCTTTGGCCCAGCTTCTTCATTCTTTATGGAGCTGTTTCTTCCCTCTTCCCCAGTAGCATATTGGACACCTACAGACCTGGGCTCTCATCTTCCAATGTCATGCCTTTTTTGCCTTATCATACTGTTCATGGGGTCCATTCAAAATTATGGTGGTCCATTCTAAATATTAGTGAGTACCTCATCCTGATTTTTGTCAGTTCATAAAAAGAAGCAGTTGACTTCAGGGACCCAGAAATGAATTTCTGGCCAAATTTAGAACTCAGCTTCTCAGAGCTAGACAATCCTTAAATATGATTTCATTTGAAATAGCAAATTTCTTGCACACATCACTAAGAATATTTCAAGCAATCTCTCTTGATAACCTGCCTAATTGGTTATTCTCTTTGTTAATGGGTGATAAAGCCTAACAGCCAAGAGAAGAAACTGTGCCCCCAAAAGTGAAATTTTGAAAATTTTAATTTCCTAGCAATTTTTCTTTACCTTTCATGCTCCTCTACCTTCTTTGTTTCCCCCTCATCCCACCCTCTGCCTCTGGTAACCACAAGTCTGATCTCTCTCTCTGAGTTTGGGTTTTTTTTAGGTTCCACGTAAAAGTGAGATCATACATTATTTGTCTTTCTTTGACTTTATTTCATTTAGTATAGTGCCTCAAATCCATCTATAATGTTGCACATGTTAAAATATTTTTTTTTAAAGAAAATTAGTCTGTCAGGCGAGTGCCTCTTGTTTTTTTAAGTCTGTTTTATTTCCAGTGGCTTGAAATGCAATTCTCATCATATATTTTGTACTTGAGTTTATTTCTGGATTGTTAATATTGTTCCATAACTTCTGATTATGCTGTCAAACTACCATGAGAATAAGTGTTATCTTTTTTTATATATTTGTTAGTTTATGTTTTAATATATATTTGTGACCCTTTGTTTTTAAAATAAATAATTCTAGTTGCTATTTTTAGTGTTAAACTTTAAATCATATATGAATTAAAATATATTTTCAGCTAAATCTCTAAAACCAATTTTTTGATGTCTGCTCATGAACTCTGGTCAGTACTTTATATACTTTGGGAGTATTCTGTGGTCAGATATAAACACTATATAACTCCATGATTTCTCCTGAGTTTGAAGATTTTTTTTTTTTTCTTTTCTAGCCTTTAATCTAGACAATGAACAACCAGATTATGATATGGACTCAGAAGATGAGACCTTATTAAATAGACTTAACAGAAAGATGGAAATTAAGCCTTTGCAATTTGAAATTATGATTGACAGACTTGAAAAAGCCAGTTCTAATCAGGTACTGTACCTTGTAAAAATGTCTCTTGTCTTAACATTTCATCTAATTAGCAGTTTTATTTTGCATTTTTATTTAGACCTAAGTATATTACATTTTACAATATTCCTTGACAGTTTAAGAAATACTTAAGCATACTGTCTTTGAATAGAGTATGAAAAGTACAATTCTGACTTTTTTCTTTTTTTTTTTTTTTTCCATTTATTTTTATTAGTTGGAGGCTAATTACTTTACATCATTGCAGTGGTTTTTGTCATACATTGAAATGAATTAGCCATGGATTTGACTTTTTTCTTGTTTGGATATAAAAATAATACTGGTTACATTGTTATAATATCTTCTTGATCCTTTTCATAGAGCTGTCTTTTTGACACTTCAGTAACTAAAATTGCTTGGTTGAATTGCTTTGTTAGTCATCTCACATCAATAAAGTTGCTCAGATTTGTATTAAGGTGCTTTTACCATTTAAGATTATTTTAGTTTTGCTTATTTATATACCATATAAAATTTTAAGTTAAGGAAAAATTATTTACAAAGAAGGAATTTTCTTTAGTGGGGCATTCTATACATGATACAGGGAATGTAAAAACAGAACAGAGAATTGCTAAAGTGGAAAACTCTAAGGTTTGTTTAAAGCATTTCTACATGTGCATAGAAAATAATAAGAATGTACAACAGTATGCCAGCAATGGTTATATTTAGGTGCTGGAATTATTGGTGATTTTTATGTTCTTTTTCTGTGTTTTCCAAATTTATTATAATGAGCATATGTTGATATTATAGTTAAATTTAAAAAATAAAAGTAATTGTTGGTGTGTCTGTGTGGTATATTAATATGCTAATTTTTATTAATATAGTAAGAAGTTACTGATATAAATAAACTTTTTACACTAGACTGTTAAAACTTTTCACTTGTTTAACTATACAAATTCATTATTTTCCCCCAATTTCCAAGTTAGTCCTTTAAATCCTGAGATATTACCAGCTCTTCAGAACATTTCCCACATTTATCTATTGGAAAATGATTTTGCTGCATGTTTAACCTGTCTATCAGTCTCCCCACACAACTTATTTTGATGGAAAGTAATATGAAGTATACTAACCAAAAAAATGCAGTAAGACTGAATTTTGTAAAATTCAATTTGATTGTATTAAAAAAAAAGAAAAGAAAAGATGGATTATTTTGACTGAATTATCCTATAGGTTTTGTATAGTAAAAGATCTCCTCTATGAAAAATAATTCTACTTGTATTTTTGAGAGGTTGTCTTTTCTTATTGGATATTTGTTTTAATCATCAAAGTGTGAAACTCATTATAACTAGTGCTCACAGTTGTCCTGGGATTTTGATCACTGGCATCAGATATAATTTCAGTTTTTCTTCTTTATGTGTAAATTTTCCTAGCAATCCTAGTCTTGATCAGACTTGTGTTATTTCTGCTGTTTTCTATGATTGTTCAGAAATTCTCGTGGTGGCTGAAATTATGTCATCAGAAGCTTGCAGCTATTTTTTCTGTAGATTGCCTTCATTCAGTTAGTAATATTTTTAATGCTCAAGTGAACAAGACAAGTGGCAGAAGCTTTTTCTTTGTGAACTTACCATCTAAGCGAGTACAGGATAAACAAAAAACATGTCAACAATGCAGTTAACTATCCACTATGATCAGCATCACCGACTCAATGGACATGAGTTTGAACAAACTCCAGAAGATGGTAGAGGACAAAGAAGCCTGGTGTGCTGCAGTCCATGGGGTTGCAAAGAGTTGGACATGCCTGAACATCTGACCAACAACAATAATCAGCATCATCCTATTTGAGTTCTTTTTGCTCACATGCAAACTTCCAGGTCATAAAACAATCACATGCAAACTTCCAGGTCATAAAACAGTCGACTAGGTTCTCAGAGCATGATAGCATCTACTTTCTGCAGAGGAGATGAAGGTGAAGGTTTTGCCACAGGAATAAAAAGGTGGTCATATTAATAGAACCAGAGATTAAATAGAACCAGGCAAAAGCCAGACCTTATTCCAAGTGTCTGATCTGGGAATTCATGGGTTTCTTTATCTGCTCATTTTGCGAGCCAATACAATACCAGATTCCAGGGCAAGGAATCAAGTTTATTGTTAAACTGGTATTTATTAGATTGGTAGAGAAAGACATAAAAGACGGATTGAGGCAAATGCTTCTGCTGCCACTATTCTGTGCATACTGTTGCAATGAAGTTATTATTGAAAACTCCCATTGCCAGAGTCCGTGATTATTTTCAGCCCCCATCCTTTTGTCCTATTTGAGCTCTCATTTCTTAAAACTGACATCACCTTTGGTCTTTCAAATATAGTTCATTCCCTTTTGGTTTCCTTAATGATTTTTTATGCCCATTTCTTCTAATTTTCTTTTACTGACTGCCTTTTCATTCAACTGCTGTAAATATTAAGGTTTCTTAAAATTCTGTTCTTGGTATTCATATCCTGATTATTTGGGGGTTAATCACCTCATTGAGGATTTTTGTGTGTGTTATAAAATACGTATGCCTTTAGCCTTGACCTCTCTCTTAAGCCCCAAGATGTTCTTTTTTCTCTTCTTGTGCTGCCTTTTGGATTCTCCATCTAGACCCGCAGACTCTCAAGTTTAATTTTTCTAAAATTTAATCTCTTAACTTCAGATGGTCTTATACTGTATTCATTCTCTTCAGTGACTCCCAAAACTTAGGATCTTGTGAGTTTTTAAAATCACTTATCTTTAGTCCCTAAATTTCTAACTCTTCCTTGTGCACCTGTATGTTCCTTGAATACTCAGTCTTCAATGATCTCTTCTCTCATTTCTTTAGTCTTTTTCTTTTTGCCCAAAAATGTGCCAAGGGTCCCTATTTCCAAAAGAGCCCTTTCACTTGAACCTGTCTTTCTCAATAAACTACCACCTTCTGTTTTTTGGCTTTTTTTTTTTTAGTCACAGTTGCATTTTCAAATTACACTCATTCCACATGCTAACAAGGTAATGCTCATAATCCTTCAAACTAGGCTTCAACAGCATATTAAAAAGCAGTATGTGAACTGAGAATTTCTAGATGTACAAGCTGGATTTAGAAAAGGCAGAGGAACCAAAGGTAAGTCACCAACATCCGTTGGATCATAGAAAAAGCAAGGGAATTCCAGAATAATATCTACTTCTGCTTCATTGACTAGGCTGAAGTCTGTGACTGTTTGGATCACAACAAAATGTGGACAATTCTTAAAGAGATGGAAATACCAGATCACCTTACCTACCTCCTAGAAATCTGTATGCAGGTCAAGAAGCAACAGTGAGAACTGGACATGGAACAACAGACTGGTTCAAAATTTGGAAGGGAGTGCATCAAGGCTATATATTGTCACTCTGCTTATTTAACTTCTATGCAGAGTACATCATGTGGAATGCCAGGCTGGATGAAGCACAATCTAGAGTCAAGATTGCTGGGAGAAATATCAACAACCTCAGCTATGCAGATGATACCACTCTAATGGCAGGAAGTGAAGAGAAACTAAAGAGCCTGTTGATGGGGGGGAAAGAAGAGAGTGGAAAAACCTGGCTTAAAACTCAGTATTCAAGAAACTAAGATCATGGCATCCTGTCCCATCATTTCATGGCAAATAGATGGGAAAGCAATGAAACAGTGACAGACTATTTTCTTGGGCTTCAAAATCACTGCAGATGGTGACTGCAGCCATGAAATTAAAAGACCCTTGCTCCTTGGAAGAAAAGCTATGACCAACCTAAACAGCATGTTAAAAAGCAGAGACATCACTTTGCCGACAAGGTCCATATAATCAAAGCTATGATTTTTCCACTAGTCATGTACAGATGTGAGAGTTGAACCATAAAGAAAGCTGAGTGCTGAAGAACTGATGCTTTCAAACTGTGTTGTTGGAAAGGATTCTTGAGAGTCCCTTGTACAGCAAGGAGATTAAACCAGTCAGTCCTAAAGGAAATCCACCCTGAATATTCATTGGAAGGACTAATGCTGAAGCTGAAGCTCCAATACTTTGGCCACCTGATGTGAAGAGCTGACTCACTAGAAAAGACCCTGATTGCTGGGAAAGATTTAAGGCAGGAGGAGAAGTGAATGACCAAGGATGAAATGGTTGGATGGCATCACCGACTCAATGGATATGAACTTGAGCAAACTCAGGGATGAGAGTAAAGGAGAGGGAAGCCTGGCATGCTGCAATTCATGGGGTTACAAAGGAGTTGGACATGACTGAGTGACTGAATAACAAACATTTTCAAAAAATAAGGCATATTGTTTAGCTTTTACTCCATTTTATTTTACTGATATTGTACTGTTTAAGGCGATTGATGGCCTCCTAATTGTCATCCAGGAGCCTTTTTTTAAGTCTGCACTCTACTTAATGTCCCTGTAGTATTGGATGTTGCTGATCTCCACATTTCCTGACTCCTCTTCTTTCTTCATCTCCTCTTCCATTTGCTCCTCTGCCTCTTACTTGTCGCTATTTCTTTTGGTATCTGTCATCAGAATTTATTCTTGTACCTTAAGCTGTCAACACAGGCACTCCCAAATGAGTTTTTTGTGACTATGTCCTCTTGCTTATTGCAGTAATACTCAGTTCCAAAGTTCTTACATTGTTCTCTTATTAATTTGTGTCTCTTACCTTAATTCCTATATTGTTAGGTTCTTCAGGTACTGGATTTGTCTTAAAGTTTATTTTGTTGTCTTACCCACAACCTATAGCACAAATGATAGACTGAGAGTTGTTATTGGACTATTGGGTAGTTTTTACGGTAATGTTGGACATACTGCTTAACTGGCTATTTTATATGTAAAAGCATTAATTTTTACATGTGTTTTATTCATTTGTGTATTAAATAATTTATGCATTTATTGAAATTTCTAAACCATGAGTTTTGTATATGTGTGCATGCTCAGTCATATCTGACTGTTTGCTACCCCATGGACTGTAGCCTGCCAGGCTTCTCTGTCCTGGAATTTTCCAGGCGAGAATACTGGATTGGGTTGCCATTTCCTCCTCCAGGGGATCTTCCCTAACCAGGGTTCGAACCCGTGTCTCCTGCATCTCCTTTATTGCAGGCAGACTCTTTACCATTGAGCTACCAGGGAAGCCTGAGTTTTGTATATAAGCAAAGTAAATGATCTTTGTTCTCATGGAGCTAGTGGCAGTCTGTTGTTTTTCAGTCACTCAGTTGTGTTCGACTCTGCGACCTCATGGACTGCAGCACGCCAGGCTTCCCTGTCCTTCACTCTCTCCCTGAGTTTGCTCACTTATGTCCATTGAGTTGACGATGCCATCCAACCATCTCATCCTCTGTCACCCCCTTCTCCTCCTGCCCTCAATCTTTCCCAGCATCAGGGTCTTTTCCAATGAGTCGGCTCTTCGCATCAGATGGCCAAAATATTGGAGCTTCAGCTTCAGCATCAGCATCAGTCCTTCCAATGAGTATTCAGTCTAGAAGAAGAATAATTTTTATCTCCCATCCCTTACCCTCAAAATAAGTCATTCAAGTAAGTCAGAGTTGTCTTGGAAATTATAAATTTATCACAGATCCCTTTGCCAATTAAATAGTAGTTTCCACTGCTTTCTAGTGGATGAAGTGCTAAATGGCAGGACTCTTTTCTTAGGATATAAAAGTAGTGGGATTCTGTTTTTGTGGATTTTTAATCATGTGGTTTAATTTGTGGCTATGTTATCTGTAAATAGATCTTGCCAGTCAAATTTAATGTTGTCACCATGATAGTAGAGAGGCACTCATACTAGTTGCCCTAGAATAACTAAAGCTAATTTTTACAGAATGAGTAAAACCAAAATTATCCAATAAAATAAAAGTTGGTCATATAACAATATAAAAACAGAAGTTGACTGAGAAAATACAGTTAACCAAGAAAAGTAATGTCAGGATATTTAAGCTGTGTATTGGGTTCTAATTACCTCAGCTGTAAAGAGGGTACTTAACTACCAGGCAGGACATTTCTAGCAGGATCAAGAAGCACCAAGAGAAGAAAATCTGAGGCATTGTTTTAATCTGCTGACATCTTCTGCAGAAAGATAGGAAGCAGTGTTATTTTCATAACACTGTTTAGGAAATGATTCTGTGGGTTGATGGAAAGAGATTATCTTCCTCCCCACTCCAGGATTAGATTAAGTTCTTGATTTAATCAGTGAAGGTTATAAAATCTTTTCAGAAGCAGAGTGACCAAACAGTTGAAGCACATGCAACATATCACAGCACTGTTTCCCTTGGTAGCCAGAGCTACCAGTTACGCTGTGAAGCTCTAAGCATGTGGTGGAAGTTTGTTAGATCCAGAAAGCTGTTTGTTTTGTTTTGGTTTGGTTTTTTTCTTCATTTATTTTTATTAGTTGGAGGCTAATTACTTTACAATATTGTAGTGATTTTTGTCATACATTGACATGAATCAGCCATGGATCTACATGTATTCCCCATCCCGATCCCCCCTCCCACCTCCCTCTCCACCCGATTCCTCTGGGTCTTCCCAGTGCACCAGGCCCAAGCACTTGTCTCATGCATCCAGCCAGGGCTGGTGATCTGTTTCACCCTAGATAATATACATGTTTCGAAGCTGTTCTCTCGAAACATCCCACCCTCGCCTTCTCCCACAGAGTCCAAAAGTCTGTTCTGTATAAAGACCAATACAGTATACTAACGCATATATATGGAATTTAGAAAGATGGTAACAATAACCCTATATGAAAGCTCTGTTCTTATTCTGCCACCATCCTTATAGACTTTGAAAGTATACATCACCATTCCAGAGAACTTCAGTTAACAATGGGAGAGCGTCACTTCAGGCTGATGTTTGGAAAATATTGGTTCTTTTGGTTTGGTCTTATGTTTCAGGCTCTGGCTGTCCTCTTTAGAGACCATGTTACTCAGTCTCTCAGATGCACTTAAGCTGACTCCACTGAGACTTTGAATAAACCAAACAATGGCCATTTATAATTGTATTGCACTAAAAGTAACTATCACATGGACTGGGATACTTGTATTGATATTGTCAGTGTCGTCTCTTCCCGTAGTCACAAAATGATCATTGTCCAAATGATTGTTACATTTATTCCATTAAGTCATACCAATATGAGAAATCAAATCATGTAAAAAATATGTTTTGTAAGTCATACTTTCTTAAAATAAATTCATACAACCACCAAATTGATTAGTATGCTAATCTTAAAATTGCAGTGATATTTCCCCACCATTTCCAAGTTTTAGGAGATATTTCAGTTTGTTTTGAAAATAAATCTTTATCTCTAAAGTAATAAAAGTAAAAAGATTGGGATATCACCACTTCAATAAGTATTCACAGCTTTAAAACTCCATAATCTTTTTCTAAGCTTCACTACAAATGGATCTTTGTAACCCCTAATCCATCTTATCAGCTTCTCTGATCTTCGCAAAGAGCAGGGAAACAGATGTGACCAAGCAAATTTTTACAAATTTTACTTTTGAGATAATGTCAACATATGTTGTCTGCATTGATAAAGGAGAGAGAGATCCTGAGATGCCACTGTCCAGACATGACATTGTCATCAGCAAGATGAGTGTTGAGAATAAGGATTCTCTAGTATTTAATCAGCTTTGTTAGAGAAGTTGTTTTGTATGTGACTGGTACAAAAAATTTAAGACTGTATAGTGTGGAAAATTCTGGAAACATGCTAAGTTTGTCCTTTTCAATTTCAGAGGAGTCATGTATGTATTCAGTTCGCAGTATATTAGAAAGTATTCATCATTTATTTTGGAGGGAGGTAAAAAGAAACCACCTGTAAATTCTATTTTCTGTTGAAAAACAGAAACACTTAATGATGCTAGTAGATGAAGACTAGTAGATCCTCCAGTGTGTGGAATCGCAGAGTATCAGAATTTTGAAGGACTCTGGGTGTGTCTAGTTCACGACTTACCTAAGTCATAAATCTGTTGTAGACTTCTCATTAATTCAGGCTTCTTAAATATTTTAAGTGGTGGAACTCACTACCTCTTAGGGCAAATATCTATTTTTGGTAAATCTTACCAATAAATTCTTTGTTAGATTGAATTGAATTGTGTTTTTTGCCATCATGATACCTGATCATAACTGTTAGACTGATCACATTTTTTCCCTGTAGACAAAGTTTAATCTTTAAATGTTTTCCCTAAGGATTGTAGTTGATGACAGTTTTTATGTTTTATTTAGCTTGTAACACTTCAAGAAGCAAAACTGCTGCTAAATGAAGATGATTACCTTATTAAAGCTGTATATGACTACTGGGTGAGAAAACGTAAAAACTGCAGGGGACCATCCCTCATTCCTCAAATAAAACAAGAGAAAAGAGATGGCTCTACCAACAGTGACCCTTATGTTGCCTTTCGGAGGAGAACAGAAAAAATGCAAACTCGAAAGGTAATATGCAAATTAGGTTTAACTGAATGTACCTAGATAGTATTTAAGACCAATTTTTTTTTCTGCCAATAGCTTAAGTAATTTTGAGTAATTTGGACATAAAGTGAAGCCAGTGACATTGTTGAACTTTATTTTAGAAAGCCTGCTCTTCGGTAGCCTCTATCCCCCAGTTGTTTGCAGTGTTTGTTTAATGTTTATTTAACACCTATGAGCTTTATAAATCTATTGATTATATCATTTTAGGCTTGCAATTGAAGTGATACGAGGAAATTCGTGTTATGAGGAAACAGGAGTTTTGAGTTCTTCAGTAAGCTATACATTCTATACATATCTTCTATTTGGAAGCTTAAGAGTTCCTTTGAAACCATATCATAAATGTAAAAAAGGACTTTACTCCCTCTAACTACTGTAGGGTCAGGGGAAGTTGGTAAAGGTGTATTTTCAAGCCTGTTCTGCTAACAGTCACAATTAAGATACTAAGACAACGAAATCTTTTTCTCGTTTTCTGAACTGTCAGTTGTGTCAGATTTCAAATTGACAAACTTGTCCTCACCTGGCTTTCAGAAGCACGATGAGTCAGAATTCTAAGAGAAACTGGGTTTCATGCTGTGAAATGATATAGTAAAGAAGAAAACATTATTTTAGGGGGGGTAGTCACTGTCTTCCACTTCTCACAATTAATAATAAACACCAGACACAGTAACACATTCTTTAACGTTGTAGAATATTAGGAACATATAAATGTAAAAAACGGAAGGAATTGTAATTGGAGGTCAGCGTTTTCTCTGGATTCCTGTTTCTCCTAACATGGAGTGCTTGTCCTTGTCAGCTGTTAATATAACAGCTGTGAAGCATAACAGCTGCCAGGGATAGTACATTTTAGGGGAAACTCTTCTGGTTAACAACTAGTTTTTATAACTATTTCTTGGATTTCCCAAATGTGGATGACATTCCCTAACCCAGACTGAGTTTTCAATTTGGTGTTTTGGTTCTTGGCTATAGAGATATTAGATACTTCATGAAGATTAATGCCTTGTTTAGACAAGACTATAATGAGATAAGTTTGTAAATACAGTTAAGTTTTATAAATTTGGATATGAGGAAGGAGAGGTTTATCTGAATTATTGAAATATCTGAATTTCCAATTTTTAAGAGAAATATAATTGGTTCAGATGTATTGGAAAACAGAGCAATATATTTTGAAGGAAAAGTACTGTTGGGTTTCTTTTAATGGATAGGCATGAAGTACTTAAAATAGCAGTATTATTGACATAAAAAACAATATTCCTAGTATTTAAATGTGTTTTACTCTTAAATAAGTTAAACCACTATTTTCTAACCAGCATGTTTTGAGAATTGCTAGAAACAAGTTCCTGTGTTTAGGCATTTCTCCATTGTAATAACTAGGCCAGTGTTTTCCTGACACTGTGATTCCTACCCTTCCTCTTACCTGTTATTTTCATATTCATCTCTAGCATGGTACATTTTCTTTTTCAATGGTCTTTTTATTTCTCCGTCTTCAGTTGTGGGACCAAAGACTATTCCCCTTCGTATATACTATTGTTTCTTGGAAATGTCTGAGTTTTAAAATGAGAAAGTTGGGAAAGCAATCGAGAATAAGCACCTTAAGTGTTTCAGAGGTGGTCAGGCATTGGGATATGCAAAAAATGAATACTAGTTAACAGAGGTTCTCTGATTTCTTTCCTATTCCCACAAACTTAAAAACATTCCAGAGGGTATAGCTATATAAATAGCTGATGCAAAGGCTAGAGTAAAGGACTTCTGAAATATTTGCTTAGAAGTCTAGAACTTAATTTTAATCATTAAACTAATGTTTAGTTTGTGAGTGCTAAAGTGCTTGAGGGCATTCTTAAGTGAGATGGTGTTAAGGTGCCAGCATGTCTGAATGCATTGACTGGGGAGGCTTGAATCAGCATATACATTGATGTGTTTAACCCACAGGTGAAACTGTTAACATTTGTGCCTTCCTTCTCTCCTCCTGTGTGGCCCAGGTGAAGCAAGATAGGCAGAAGAGCAAACTTCCAGGGTGGTGGTTCTAAGTCTGGCTGCACATAACAATCACTTATGAATTAGCCTTGGTTTACAGAGATCTATGGTTAACTATAAATTATAGCAGTTTGAGAACCGCTTCCCTAGAGATTTGGCAGCTAATCAAAACTGTAATATGTAACTGGAATAGGAAGACGGGAATTTGCTCTAAGCAGTGGTTGTGGAGAAGGGTAAAGGGAATGAATAAATTTGAATACAGGGAGTAGACAATCTTAAAAGCACAGAAAAGATGTCGCAGTGAACTTACAGATTTTAATATTGCTGCAGCTAGAAATAGATATAAATCTGGGCTTGTTTATGTACATAAATGTATTATAAGCTTATTTCCTAGCTATGTTCACTTAGAGCATATAGAAGCAATTAGTGTTAGTCGCTCAGTCGTGCCCAGCTCTTTGCAACCCCATGAACTGTAGCCCACGAGAGTCCTCTGTCCATGGGATTTTCCAGGGAAGGATACTGGAGTGGTTTGCCATATCCTTCTTCATCAACCTAGTACCTTATATAAAGCTAAAATCATGACTGCCTGAGTTGGTCAGGTCATAAACCACAGTTCCTCCTCCCCTCCTGCTGCCCCACCACCATTTAGGCTTCTTTTGAAGTCAATATAAGAAGTGTTCTTCAAGCCAAGAGACAGAAATGTAGATGTTCTAAAACAGGAAACCTCTAGATCTGGTTTTGACAGAGATGAATAGTGAATGAGGCCCAAATTACGCAAGACTCCAAAAATTCACAAAGAAGTTATCTGAAAGGAAAGAAGCTGCGTAGCTGGTATTTTGTTGTTGTTTAGTCGCTAAGTTGTGTCTGACTCTTTGTGACCCACGGACTGGAGCCCACCAGACTCCTCCATTTTAGGGATTTCCCATGTAGAAGCAACTAGAGTAGCATGTAAAAATACTGTTTTCCATTAAAGGAAACCAGGGCTCATTTTAAAAAAGGTTAATTTCAGGTCTGATACTAGGAAAGCATAAAGGTAAACTTGGAACATTCTGCTTTGCCAGAATATAAAAATGTGATGAAAGCATGTTGGAGCAGTGTCAGAAGGCCTCAGGAGCCATCTTTAATTAGGGGGACTCTGCTGATCACATTGGGGGAGTTTGTGTGTCACACACAATAAGGAGAGTAATGGGTTATAACTCATAAGGTAACCCTTGCATCCATACTGATATAAATGCATGGATAGATGATAGATAGAATGCTTTTCCTTGTCATAGATTTCCAACTTAAAAATGTCAATGGAATGATGGTGTTCAAAAATCATCATCTGGCAACTACCATTGTTTCTGGCAAAAGTTAGAATTAACGGATGATAAACTGATGGGGGAAATTTGATTATATAAAGTCCCACAGTGTACTTTTTAATTTAAAAAAGAAAAGAAAAATAGTCATTTGACTAGAGAAACCTGGCAAGCACCATTTAATCGAATGATCAAAGTTAACATCAGCAGTAATCCGACAAATAGGTGTCATTTAGCTCCTGGTATGATGAGCAACTGGAGAAAGAAATGGCAACCCGCTCCAGTATTCTTGCCTGGAGAATCCCATTGACGGAGGAGCCTGGTGGGCTACAGTCCATGAAGTCACAAAGAATCGGACACGACTGAGTGACTCCACTTTCTTTCTTTCTTTATGATGAGCAAGGGACACAGTTTCACTTCTGTAATGGTCATACCAAAAGTTCACAACCTCAATTTAATTGTGGAAAAACATCAAAGAAACCCAAATTAACGAACATTCTACAAAAATAAATGGCTTCTACTCTTCAAAACTATCAAGGTCATGATCATGATAGAAAAACAGAGGAAGTATTCCAACTTACAGGAGATTAAAGAGACATGGACCATAAAGAAGGCTGAGTGCCAAAGAATTGATGCTTTTTAACTGTAGTGTTGGAGAAGACTCTTGAGAGACCCTTGGGCAGCAAGGAGGTCAAACCAGTCAATCCTAAAGGAATTCAACCTTGAATATTCATTGGAAGGACTGATGTTGAAACTGAAGCTCCAGTATTTTGGCTATCTGATTCGAAGAGCCAACTCATTAGAAAAGACCCTAATGCTGGGAGAGATTGAAGGCAGGATGAGAAGGAGGTGGTAGAGATGAGATGGTTAGATGGCATCACTGACTCAGTGGACATGAGTTTGAGCAAACTGTACGAGATAGGGAAGGACAGGGAAGCCTGGTGTGCTACAGTCCATGGAGTCACAGAGTCGGACATGACTGAGCAGCTGAACAACCCCAAAAGAGACATGACAGCTAAATTCACTTTTAATCCTGAATCAGGTCCTAGACTGGGAAAGAATTTATTATTTATAATAAATTTTAATAATAAAAATTATTATTGTCCCACTAATGTCCTTTATAGCAACATTATATAAATATAGGAAATCTGTATATACTAACTTGTATTTCTTGCTGTGAAGGACATTAGTGGGTCGATTGGTGAAATATGAGGAGAGTCTATAAATTAGATAATAGTTTTTATACCAGTATTAATTTCCTGATTTTGATAATGTTACTGAGATTGTATAAGAGACTATCATTATTCTTAGAAAATACACATTAAAGTGTTTAGGGGATGAATACATTATATCTTCAACTTGAAAAATATTTTAAAATACTGTTGCTAATAAGTTATATATGTATGTATGTGTTCATATACATACATGTATGTGTGTCATAGTCCATTTGTGCTGTTGCAACAAAAATACATAGACTGGGTGGCTTAAACAATGAATATTAATTTTTCAGTTCTGGAAGTTGGGAAGTCCAAGATCCAGGTATTATCAGACTTGGTGTCTATTGAGGGCCCACTTCTTGTTTCATAGATGGTCCTCTTGCTGTGTCCTCACATGGCAGAAGGGGCAAGAGAGTTCTCTGAGGCCTCCTTTTTATAAGGGCACTGATCCATTCATGAGTACTCCCAAAGCCCTCACCTCCAAATAAAAATCATATTGGATAGTTAGGATTTCAACATAAGAATTTTCAGGTGATGCAAATGTTCAGTCCGTAACAATGTGTATATACATCATAGAGATATATAAAGCAAATGTAACATATTAACCTTTGGGGAATCTGGATGAAGATAATATGGGGATTTTTTATACTATTTTTGTAGCTTTTTTGTAAATCTGAAATTATTTCACAATAAAAGGTAAAAATAGAAGAAAGGGCAGGAGTGGGGTTAAGAAAAATTAGGGAAGCTACTTACTTGGGCCTAAAGAGAGCAGGAAATGAATGAGTAAGAAGGGGCAGAAGTACATAGTCCAAGAGAAACATTTAATGAAGAGGAGGACAACTTTAAAATGTTCTGATGCACTTTTTGTTCAGCTGGTGTTATTTATCTTTTGAACTTGTATTTCTTTCATTCTTATTAGACTTTAAGCCTTTTGAGAATAGGGGACATGTGTAATACTTTTTACAGAGAGCAATACTGAAGTATTAAAGTACTTTGTACTTTAATATTTGCTCTTGGTTATGTTCATTTTTTTTTTAATCATAAGGTGCAACTGCTGCCTGGTTACAAAATATTTTGCTTAAAACTGTGCTTTAGATTTTTGTCTTTTGTCACATATATTACTGAAGGGGGAGAGTGATATATTTCCCTTGGATAAGATTAAAGGGTGATTTATTATTCATAACATAGTATTTTTTAATATTCAGTATGCACTACCTTAATGAGATTTAGTTTAAGTAATGTTTTATAGGTAATGATTAATTTTCAAATACAAGAAACTATGCAAAAGAAAAAAGTAAAACTTTGTATCTTCCTCAAGTTTTATTTTCTCTTTTATAATCCTCCTATACGAAACCTGGCTTTCTTTGGGTTCGGATTTCTAATGTCACATTGCTTTATTAAGTAATGTATGGAAAGCTTGCTTAAATGCAGTCTGTCTGAACATATAGAATGAGGAGTGGTAGTGATCTGTTTTTAAACAGATAGTTCCACACCTAATAGAAAGTAAGAATTCTGTGGCTATTTGATTGAGCAAAATATTTTTATTAACAGTAATTTTTATATGCAGGTGATGCTGCTAATTATAACTGAGCCTTCTCTAGTTATTAGTTAGAACTTTTACCTGTGAGTTAGTTCAAGTTACTTTTGACACTTCAAAGTAAGAATTTATAATGAAATCCAGACCTTTTACTAGTAGATCTCTTTTCTACTCTGCAGTGAGGTTTTACTACATTCAGCATGATAATTCCATTCCTTGAGATCCTTTATATTCTGTAATCTGTTTTATATCTGAGTTTTTTAAGGGAAGCTTTGCTTGTCATTGTGAATCTTTACATTATAGTGAATTGAACTGTCCAGCCCACGATTAGAAGGCTGAATGGATGAATAGCAACTCAGTTTGGCTATTTTTAGATAACCTTGATTTGACAGAACTGTTTCTGTCTGTCATTGAAAAAGACCTTGTAACAATAAGAAAAAATTACATTTTTTGATAAAGTAGTTTTTGTTTCAGGCAGACTTTAAAAATTTTATGTTAGAATTATCCCATCTGTGTCATTCCGTCTTTTCAGCAGCTGGGAACATTTTTTTCTGAATATTTATTGAGATATTTGTGGTTTTTTTTTTTTTTTTTTTTTTTGAGTTAAATAGTTTCTCTTAATGTAATTGCTGTTTACTTTTTTTTTTTAATTTTTTTTTTTTGTAATTGCTGTTTAGATGTGTGTGTTGTTGTTTAACATTTTGCTTTTATAGAGTGAATTTGGGTCTGATAAGATTTTGATGAATGAAGCTGGAAATGTGGACAGTTGAATTCAATTCTTTAAACTTATTATTTTGAATAGAATCGAAAGAATGATGAAGCCTCTTATGAAAAGATGTTGAAACTGAGACGAGAATTTAGTAGAGCCATAACAATTTTGGAAATGATTAAGAGAAGAGAGAAAACAAAGCGAGAATTATTGCACTTAACCTTAGAAGTTGTGGAAAAAAGGTAACATTGCTACTCTTACATACCAGTAATGCTTCAGTCAAAGGAAAGGCAAAATATAACCAAATTTCAACTTTATAACTATTGAAATTGATTATCTAACAATATCTCCATTTTTTGAAAATTGTGATTGCTAGTTTTTGCTTTTTGTTTTTAAACCATTAATTTGCCAGTTTGGGTTGCAAATTTGGGAGATATTTTTGTGTATAGTGTAGATCAAATCCCTGTTACACTTAATTTCTTGTTGTTGCAGAATCATTTAATTGTATTTAGAAAAGAACTTGGAGATCATATTGTCCCATTCTCTGTATTAAAGTTTCTATTAAAATTTGAGAGAAATAATTGTTTAATTGGTTTTATTTTTTGATTAGTTAGGAAACACTTGTTTCAGTGCATTTTGAAAATGTATTCGCCAATGTAATAATCCTCTTCCTACATAATTAAATAGACTCTGCTAAACCTAACAAAATTTTGTTTGTTTTCCTGAGGTAAGCATTCTAAAACATCATTTCCCAGTGTTTGAAAATATGAAATATATGAAGATTCCATCTTCTGTGTATCTTAGAGATTAGGAGAGGGAGTTGTTTTGTTTTTCAGTTCAGTTCAGTCGCTCAGTCGTGTCCGACTCTGCGACCCCATGAACCACAGCACACCAGGCCTCCCTGTCCATCACCAACTCCCGGAGTTCACCCAAACCCATGTCCATTGAGTCAGTGATGCCATCAAACCATCTCATCCTCTGTCATCCCCTTCTCCTGCCCTCAATCTTTCCCAGCATCAGGGTCTTCTCAGATGAGTCAGCTCTTTGCATCAGGTGGCCAAGGTGTTGGAGTTTCAGCTTCAGCATCAGTCCTTGTTTTGTTTTTACTAAATCCCAAATATGAGCTTCCTTTGTTCCCATACGTTTTCTCTCTTAAGAATAATCCAATTAATTGTTGGCTCTGTTTGATTAGTTGTGTTCCAAGTAAATGATGTATCATTGGTTTTTTATTTCTATTTTATTTTTGAGCTGTAACATTTTCTTATATATTATTTCCTTTTCAAGATATCATTTAGGAGACTATGGTGGTGAAATCCTTAATGAAGTGAAGATCAGTAGATCAGAAAAAGAATTATATGCCACTCCAGCAACTCTTCATAATGGAAATCATCACAAAGTCCAAGAATGTAAAACTAAGGTGAGTATCTTCTGGGGAGAAGCATGTATGGTAATATTGACTGGACAGTTGGTTTCTGAAATTGTCTTACAATAGTTTGGTTACAAAGGAAGATTACTAACATGTTTGAGTTCCTACTTTTTGTACTTTGCTAGGATTTTTTACATACATGTTGATTCGTTAATCCTTGTCACATCCGTTTGAGGTAGATTTTTTACCTCTGTGTGACTTATAGATCATATAGTTATTAAGTGGCAGATTTAAGATTTTGAGTCTAGGTCTAACACCAAAAGCCATGTGTTTTTTCAACTATGCTATCTTGCATCCCTACAGAATAATGGTAATTACAGCTTAGTTATTATCACTGCCTTAGCAAATCCTGCATATCTGTGATGGCAGGCAACAAAATTAAGCCTTTCTTCATTGAGACTATTCAAAGTTACTGTCCTCACTATTGCCATAACCAGCATTTATCAGTTGTTGTTTATCTTGACTTTCTCAAATCCTATAACTTCTAGAACTCAATTTTTTCCTAATAAAGAGACTAGTGATTAGTTTCTTAGACTGAAGAGTTACATTTATTCATTATTCACTTGGTGTATAAAAGCATCCAGTCAAGAAATGTGAAAGTTAAAACCTTTGAAGAGCTTAAATTTTTAAAAAGAAACAGGTTATTGGCTGAGTTTTTAGACAGTAGAGCTCTACTGTGTAGCAGGATTTTAAAAAATGGTTTAGGGTGTTTGTGGAAAATTCATCTTTTAAAAATGTGCACAATTCTCATTTTTCATGGTTTCTTTCTTAAAGGTCAAGGAAGAATGTGGAGTAGGGAGACACCTTCATTATTCAGCTGTGTCAATTCAAACACCAAAGTTCTTTCTTATTAATCACAGGCATCTAGCCCACCTGCCCTTTAAATCACACTTACTTTGGCATAAACCAGACAATAAATGTCATTTTGTACATTATTTTTAAAAATCCAGTTCTAAATCAGTGCTTTTCCTATGCATATTATTGTTAGGTATAGAATATGAAAATCTCAACCCCAAATTACTGCAGAATCAGCCTTTGTTATAAATTGATTCTTAATCTTAGATCACCTCTAAGATTAAACACCCACACTATTTAAATACTAATTTTAGAAATATGATTGCATTTGACATAGTTAACTATATTTCCTTTGTCACACACCCTACTTTAGTTTCTGAGAAGTTGGGGGTTTCTTTTTGATGTCATAGCCATGCCCATTGTATGAAAGCATTTATATCTCAATAACTCAGTGTTTCAGCAACATTTTCATCATGTATAACATTTTTGACCCTAAAGTAGTTTTAATGAAAATCTGAGCTACTTGAAAAAATGTAAAACTTCCTAAGTATTTTTACACTTTGTTAACGCTTGTAATTTGATGCTTAGAACAGTCATTTTTAAACTTTTTAAAGCAGAGTCTTATTTATTAAAAGGAATGCCAGTATGTTAAAACAGAAACAGCTGCTCTGTTTAGGATAGCTGGGTTCTAGACTCCACCCATCAGTTAGTCTCTGCCAGACAGCATCTTGCGTGCCACCAAAGAACTCTGGGGTACTTGAAGACAGTTTGATTATTGTTCAGCTGAGGTAGTAATTAATTCTAAAAAGTGAAGGTTTCTTCCCTAATTAATAAGCTTTTCTGTCTCAGAAAAGTTATTCCACATGTAGATATTTTTAAAAATTGGAAATAAGCATAGAAATGAATTAATGAATTTATAATCTAATCCAAGTCATTTTAAAAATAAAAGTAGTCAATTTTCATCATTAATCAGTAGATTTAAATAAAATCAAAATAGAATTTAAATACATTTTAAATGATGTATTGCATAATAGAAGAATTTTAAAAAATCACTAACATCTTAAAGTATTGATAACAATATAAAAAACTAAATTTAAACGTCATAATTATTTTTCACTGTAATTTTTGAAAGCAAAGCACTTTTTAGCTTATCATGAATAGTTTCTGCATATTAAAACCAGAAGATAAAATCACCTCCTGGGTAAAAATGTATGTTTTTTCAAAGAGCAGTATAGTTTTTTATGATTTCTAAAATGATTTTCATTTCTTCCTTTTGGGGGAAAAATCATCATGTAAACAGCACCCGCATCACTTGTCTTTGAAAGAAGAGGCTTCTGATGTGGTTCGTCAAAAGAAGAAGTACCCAAAGAAGCCTAAAGCAGAGGCTGTGCTAACATCTCAGCAGCCTACTCCTGAGACCTTGCCTGTGATCAATAAGAGTGACCTTAAGCAATATGACTTTCACAGCTCAGAGGAAGATGAATTTCCACAGGTGCTTGTTTTAAAACTATTTTACAGACATTTTCTTCTAGTCTTTTATATTGCTCTATTTTAAAACATAATATCTTAGAGTTTGTTTGGTTTTTTTTCCTAGTTTATTTATTTATTTAGTTATTTATTTATTTTTTTTTCCATTTATTTTTATTTGTTGGAGGCTAATTACTTTACATCATTGCAGTGGTTTTTGTCATACATTGAAATGAATTATCCATGGATTTACATGTATTCCCCGTCCCGGTCCCCCCTCCCACCTCCCTCTCCACCCGATCCCTCTGGGTCTTCCCAGTGCACCAGGCCCGAGCACTTGTCTCATGCACCCAACCTGGGCTGGTGATCTGTTTCACCCTAGATAATATACATGTTTCCATGCTGTTCTCTTAAAAGATCCCACCCTCGCCTTCTCCCAGAGTCCACAAGTCTCTTCTATACATCTGAGTCTCTTTTTCTGTTTTGCATATAGGTTTATCATTACCATCTTTCTAAATTCCATATATATCTGTTAGTATACTGTAATGGTCTTTATCTTTCTGGCTTACTTCACTCCGTATAATGGGCTCCAGTTTCATCCATCTCATTAGAACTGATTGAAATGAATTCTTTTTAATGGCTGAGTAATATTCCATGATGTATATGTACCACAGCTTCCTTATCCATTCGTCTGCTGATGGGCATCTAGGTTGCTTCCATGTCCTGGCTATGATAAACAGTGCTGCGATGAACATTGGGGTGCACGTGTCTCTTTCAGATCTGGTTTCCTCGGTGTGTATGCCCAGAAGTGGGATTGCTGGGTCATATGGCAGTTCTATTTCCAGCTTTTTCAGAAATCTCCACACTGTTTTCCATAGTGGCTGTACTAATTTGCATTCCCACCAACAGTGTAAGAGGGTTCCCTTTTCTCCACACCCTCTCCAGCATTTATTGCTTGTAGTACTATAAAACTCCTAGAGGAGAACATAGGCAAAACACTCTCCGACATAAATCACAGCAGGATCCTCTATGACCCACATCCCAGAATTTTAGAAACAAAAGCAAAAATAAACAAATGGGACCTAATGAAACTTAAAAGCTTTTGCACAACAAAGGAAACTATAAGCAAGGTGAAAAGACAGCCCTCAGATTGGGAGAAAATAATAGCAAACGAAGCAACAGACAAAGGATTAATCTCAAAAATATACAAGCAACTCCTCCAGCTCAACTCCAGAAAAATAAATGACCCAATCAAAAAATGGGCCAAAGAACTAAACAGACATTTCTCCAAGGAAGACATACAGATGGCTAACAAACACATGAAAAGATGCTCAACATCACTCATTATCAGAGAAATGCAAATCAAAACCACAATGAGGTACCATTACACGCCAGTCAGGATGGCTGCTATCCAAAAGTCTATCTTAGAGTTTTGATTCTTGCTTTCTTCACCTGATGTTACAACATAAACGTTTTCCACATTATTTATGTAGTTACTGAAATGGTATTTGCTTTCTGTTATTTTCTATCAGTTGAATATATTTTATTTCTATTGTGTAGCATTTAGGTGGTTTTAAGCTCTCCCTTTTATAAAAATGAGCATCTCTACCTCGTCCCTCTATATTTGAAATAGATGATTAAAAATGGAATTCCTGAGCTAAAGGTTATAAATATTTTAAGACATTTAACACATAGTTGTAAACATTCACCAATAATAATTCCCATATTCCATCAGCATTGTATTTTACAACTTTTAATGAAAATTTTGCTAATTTATCTGACAGTAACTATTTGACTCCAAAGAAGATTTAGAATTGGTTCAAATTTTAACTTGTGAAAATAATTCTTTGGTTATATTGTAGCAGTTTTATAGCAAATTTTAACAGTTTAAAAATCTAAATTTTGTTTCATATGTGCTGTTTTTTAAAACAAGACTTTTATATACTAAAGGATGGATTTAAAAAAATACTATTGTTTAGCACCTGGTGTAACAGTGGCCTCCTTTTTTCTTCTTCATACAGTATAGGAAACCTAGAGAGAGTACTATAACATGTGTTATAGTATTTCAACATTTTGACTGACTTGCTTAAAAAAAAATTTTTTTAAACACCATGACAGATAAATTTGGAAGCAAGACAGTTTATAAAACTCCTTGTTGTAGTAACTATTTAAAATCTAAAGTTTATATAAAATTTGTCTTCTTTGGCTCGATTATATTAGTTTTACTTTTTTGTAGATGATTTAGTTTTTCTAGCCCAGATAATATTTCAGCATTCATAAACATTGTAACAGTGCACAAAATGTGTTTAGTATCCTCTTTAAAAGCACTTAAATGAACTCATTTATTAAAAGTTGTCAGATGGTCTTGCTCAAGGTTATGTGGCAGTCTGGATGGCAGAGGGCAGTTAAAAAAAATATTAAAAAAAAAAATAAAATTGCCAGAGGATAATGTTGTTAGACTCAGGCAGGGCTTTGAATAGTCATGGAACATGAATTAGATGACATTTTGAAGGAATGAGGGCACATATAGTAGGTCTTTTCCAGATAGAAAATGTGGGGAAGGGTCCAAGGCAGAGAAAACAGCATATTAGAAGGAATTGCTAGCAGTAAGTTTAAGTGAGGAGTGAGATGGTTAAATCAGTACATGTATAAAAGCCAATAAAGTTTTGCTCTACATTCCTAGCCTTTTAAGAATAATGCTAAGGGATACTGTGTCAAGTAGAAACTTTTCCTATATTGCTAGAATCAGTCTATGCAGTCTGATAGATGCACTCATACTAGACCTATATTCCTCATCTATTAAGGAATCTTCATCTCTGTTCTAAAGTCTTATATTTATTCATATAGTCCCCATTCCCACATGAAATTGCATTTTGAAACTTTTAGGTTCCTCTGAGTCCTTGTACTGTGTTCTTAACAATGTTAATTTTTATGATGGTATCCCTGGTTGCTAAACAGTAAGTAAGCATGTACCTATAGTTGAACATTATTCAGTGAGGCAGCTGTTTAGAATGTGGCTCTTACAAAATCAGGATTTTACTGCTTAAAAGATAATTAAAATAATCATATGCTTCTTCTGTGTCCAATAAACAAGAATAAAGGAATAGGGAGCCGTAAAGAACATTTTAACCAGACTTCTCCAGCTGATTTGCAACAAAGCAGAATACAAACCCAGTCTCTTCTCAGTCATGCTTCTGATTCTCCTAACATCAAGGCTGTTGTTATCTGTATCTCAGACTGTATCTGTATCTTCCTGTATCTCAGACTAAATCCTGGAAACCCCTCCTTGGGTAATCCGGAGGAAGGGATGCAAAAAATTTCTGAGACTTTGTGACACTTCCTGTGTACATTCTGGAAGAGGTAGTTGCTTTGTAAAGGAACCAAACTGTAAAATTCACATTTGGGATTTACTTTCAAATTTCAGGTTTGGGTTTGGTTCCCTGGGAAGAAGAATCAGCCCCAGCTTACTGTTTCTGTGTCTCCCCCATAGGGTTGGTTGGAGGTATATTGGAACCTCAAACAAATGCCTTTCTCCCCTGGATGATCCTGCTCAGTGGTAATTACCACAGTTTTGAAATAATGTGGAGAAAGCATTTTTCCCCTCAAAATAGGAAGAGAGGGATTTGTGAGGTTCAAAAGTTTGCAAGTAAATGTGGTTGAGCCAGCGTTGTCAGAAAAAGAGATGTACTCCAAAGTGAAATTGCGAGACAACTGAAACTTAAGTACCAAAACTTTTTTTTTTTTTAATTTTAACCATTATGGGTAGAAATTTATCTGAACCATATTATTTCCTGCCATATCAGAGTGTATTTGTATTTCCCTTAATCTGTTTTCGATAACATAACGTTTGCTATAATGCCACCAGTGCTGCCTTAGAGGTCCACTCAGATTATGTAGGGGGATTTATTTGTCCTAGTCTCACTTGGTCCTATGCTTTTTAATGTGTGACAGCTTTTTGAAAGTCTTTATTCTTTTGCTGTCAGGTGGTGAGATTAGTACTTCTAAACCAGTCTGCTTACCTTTTAGCAAGTCCTCTTTCCTCTTTTGATTTTCAGCTTCTGATCTGTTAAATTTTAAAAATGATTTTAAAAACAAGTGGGGAAATAAGGGACTCCCCTTTCAGTGCAGTGTAGGAACTTTTTGGCTTTGAGGGATGGGAGGTTATTCTTAGTTTTAGGCTTTATTATAGAGAAATGAAGTTATTGTATAAAAGCATACCTATCTGTAGATGAAACATAATTATTACAAAGTATTCATGGCCACATACAGTATTTATAAAATGTATAAATGGGGTATGTAAAAACCATACTAATTATTTTCAAGCTTAAAGCATTTATATACATGTTCAGAAACAGTTAAGCAATACCATGTGAACTTACCTGCAAGAACTTACCCATTAAAAATGATTATTATTAACCATTGAAAACTTCTGCTAATCTTTAAATATTTTGGGAAATTCACTACCTACTGTATGTAATGTGGAGTGATTCACTGTGATCACATTCTGATTTAAGACCATTACAAAGATTGTTGACTTTTGGTAACTCCTAAATGGAATGCTTCATACCTCTTTTCTAGGTACCGTCCCCAGCATCAGAACCCGAAGAAGAAAATGATCCTGATGGTCCCTGTGCTTTCAGGAGGCGGGCAGGATGCCAGTATTATGCTGTAAGAACTATATTTTTTGTGGTGTTTTGGGAATTGGAATTAACAGATAACTCATGTCAAGATGACTTCAGTTCAGTTCAGTTGCTCAGTCATGTTCAACTCCTTGCGACCCCCATGGTCTGCAGCACGCAGTCCATCACCAATTCCAGGAGATTACTCAAACTCGTGTCCATCAAGTCACTGATGCCATCAAACCATTTCATTCTCTGTTGTCCACTTCTCCTGCCTTCAATCTTTCCCAGCATCAGGGTGTTTTCAGAAGAGTCAGTTCTTCACATCAGGTGACCTAATATTGGAGTTTCAGCCTCAGCATCAGTCCTTCTAATGAATATTCAGGACTGATTTCCTTTAGCATGGACTGGTTGGATCTCCTTGAAGTTCAAGGGACTCTCAAGAGTCTTCTCCACACCAAAGTTCATCAATGCTTCAGCGCTCAACTTTCTTTATAGTCCAACTCTCACATCCATACATGACTACTGGAAAACCCATAGCTTTGACTAGATGGACCTTCATTGACAAAGTAATGTCTCTGCTTTTCAATATGTTATCTAAGTAGGTCATAACTTGTGTTCCAGGGAGCAAGGGTTTTTTAATTTCAGGACTGTAGTCACCATCTGCAGTGAGTTTGAAGCCCCCCAAAATAAAGCCTCTCACTTTTTCCATTGTTTCCCCTTCTATTTGCCATGAAGTGGTGGGACCAAATGCCATGATCTTAGTTTTCTGAAAGTTGAGTTTTAAGCCAACTTCTTCACTCTCTTTCACTTTCAGCAAGAGGCTCTTAATTCATCACTTTCTGCCATAAGGGTGGTGTCATGTGCGTATCTGAGGTTATTGATATTTCTCCCGGCAATCTTGATTCCAGCTTGTGCTTCATCTAGCCCAGAGTTTCTCATGATGTAATCTGCATATAAGTTTAATAAGCAGGGTGACAATATACAGCCTTGTCGTACTCCTTTCCCAGTGTGGAACCAGTCTGTTGTTCCATGTCCTGTTTTAACTGTTGTTTCTTGACCTGCATACAGATTTCTCAGGAAGAAGGTCAGGTGGTCTGGTATTCCCATCTCTTTTAAAAATTTTCCATAGCTTGTTGTGTTCCACACAATCAAAGGCTTTGGCTTAGTCAATAAAGCAAAGGTAGATGTTTTTCTGGAACTCACTTACCTTTTTTGATGACCCAATGGATGTTGGCAATTTTTTCTCTGGTTCCTCTGCCTTTTCTAAATCCAGCTTGAACATCTGGATATTCACAGTTCATTTACTGTTGAAGCCTGGCTTGGAAAATTTTGAGGATTACCTGCTAGCATGTGAAATAAGTGCAATTGTGCTGTAGTTTGAACATTCTTTGGCATTGCCTTTTTTTAGGATTGGAATGAAAACTGACCTTTTCCAGTCCTGTGGTCACTGCTGAGTTTTCTAAATTTTCTGGCATATTAAGTGCAGCACTTTCACAGCAGCATCTTTTAGGATTTGAAATATCTCACCTGGAATTCCATCACCTCCACTAGTTTTGTTTGTAGTGATGCTTCCTAAGGCCCACTTGACTTCGCATGCCAGGATGTCTGGCTCTAGGTGAGGGATCACACCATCGTGGTTATCTGGGTCATTAAGATCTTTTTTGTGCATTTCTGTATATTCTTCCCACCTCTTCTTAATATCTTCTGCTTCTGTCAGGTCCATACCATTTCTGTCCTTTATGGTGCCCATCTTTGCATGAAATGTTCCCTTGGTATCTCTAACTTTCTCGAAGAGATCTCCAGTCTTTCCCATTTTATTGTTTTTCTCTTATTTCTTTGTATTGATCATTGAGGAAGTCTTTCTTATCTCTCCTTACTATTCTTTGGAACTCTGCATTCAGATGGGTATATCTTTCCTTTTCTCCTTTGCGTTTAGCTTTCTTTTTTTCTCAGTTATTTGTAAGGCCTCCTCAGACAACCCTTTTGCCTTTCTGCATTTCTTTTTCTTAGGGATGGTCTTGATCACTGCCTCCTGTACAGTGTCACGAACCTCTGTCCATAGTTTTTCAGGCACTCTGTCTATCAGATCTAATCCCTTGAATCTGTTTGTCAGTTCCAATGTATAATTGTAAGGGATTTGATTTATGTCATACATGAACGGTCTAGTGGTTTTCCCTACTTTCTTCAATTTAAGTCTGAATTGTGCAATAAGGAGTTCATGATCTGAGCCACAGTCAGCTCCTGGTCATTACTTTGCCAACAGAGGTCCATCTAGTCAAAGCTACGGTTTTTCCAGTAGTATAGATGTAGTAGTATACATGTGAGATGTGAGAGTTGGACTATAAAGAAAGCTGAGCACCGAAGCAGTGATGCTTTTGAACTTTCATGTGGAGAAGACTCTTGAGAGTTCGTTGAACTTCAAGATGATCCAACCAGTCCATGCTAAAGGAAATCAGTCCTGAATCTTCATTGGAAGGACTGATGCTGAGGCTGAAATTCCAATACTTTAGCCACCTGATGTGAAGAATTGACTCATTGGGAAAGACCCTGATGCTGGGAAAGATTGAAGGTGGGAGGAGAAGGGAACGTCAGAGGACACGTTGGTTGGATGGTATCACTGACTTGATGGACATGAGTTTGAGCAGGCTCTGGGAGTTGGTGATGGACAGGGAGGCCTGCTGTGCTGCAGTCCATGGAGTCGCAAAGAGTCGGACACAACTGAGCAACTCAGTTGAACTGAACTGAGGAAATGGAAAGCTAAGAAGTGCACTGTATGTCATTAAAAATAAAGAGAGGAAGTATGAATTTAATCTGTGCTTGCTTTCTTTTTTTTTTCTTTTTTAAATTATGAAAGTATGATAACACATTTACAGAAGACGTGGAAAATACAGAACAAAGTTGCATATAGCTCTACCATTTATTACAATTCTTTTTTTAAGTAGATAAATTAGGATTTTTAGTTGAATTTCAATACTGAACTCTCAAAAATTAATGGAATGAATATACAGAAAAGTGGAAGCATATAGTAGACCTGAAAAGCACCATGCACCTATTCAACATAATTGAGATTTATACAGTTTTCACACAACAGTAGGATACAAATTCTATTCAGGTTTTCATTGACTACAAACTGGGTGACACTAGAACATATTCAGGTACCTAAAATAAGGTCACGCATGCTTTCTTGAAGTGCAATTTTTGAAAATTTTATTGAAATCCCTGTAATATATCTCAGTAGCAAGTTTATAAATTACTAAATTCATTATCTCTAGAGTCGCTGAGAGTTGGACACTACTGAGCAACTGAACAGCAACTCCTACATAAATGTTAAAAGCCACATTGTTCTTTAGCAATATATTTCTTTTAAAATATAATATATCTTAAATGTATTGATAGTCATAAAAATTTAGTTTTAAGTTATTTTGATGAGTGAACTTCTGTATCAGTTTTATAGAATTTTACCTGGTTAACATTTAAATCCCAATTTTAAAGTTTTATATCTAAATTTTAATTCTTCTGCTAATACTGTAGTTACTTTCTTTTTATCATGATTTAACTTTTCTTCATTTCAGAATTATTCTATGAGTTTTAATTTTTTTTTCCTTTCTGTACAGCCTCGTTTGGACCAAACTAACCGTTCATTTGGAAATTCAGAATTGGCAGATTTGGATAAGTTAAGATACAGGCATTGTCTTACAACACTCACAGTCCCAAGACGATGTATAGGATTTGCAAGAAGGCGAATTGGCAGAGGTGGAAGGTAAACTGTTCGTTTTGACGTGCTATTTGTTTCCAAGATGGAAGGTACGGTATCGAGAAAATGTTTTTAAGTTCTTCTAGGTAATATTTGGCTTTATATTGCTTTTCAGGGTCATAATGGACCGGATAGCCACAGAACATGACCCAGTCCTGAAACAGATAGACCCTGAAATGCTGAATGGTTTTTCAAGCGCTTCCCAAACTATAGACTTTTCTTCTAATTTCTCTCGGACCAATGCTTCCAATAAACATTGTGAAAATAGACTGTCCCTATCTGAAATATTAAGCAATATCAGATCATGTCGACTACAGTGTTTCCAGCCAAGGCTACTAAATTTACAGGACAGTGATAGTGAAGAATGTACCTCAAGAAAACCAGGGCAGACTGTGAACAATAAAAGAGTTTCTGCAGCATCTGTAGCTTTATTGAACACCAGCAAGAATGGCATATCAGGTAAGTTGCTACTTGTTAAAAGTATATCCTCTTCTCTTCTTAATTTTTCACTATCCACTAGATAGACTTTCATGATGAATTTTGAAGGTTTATTTTCATGATCCTACTGAGGAAAGGAATTTTAGCTTAACCTACGTTTTTTTTTCCCCAGTGTAAGAAACTAAACTCTATTATTGTGGTTTGCATTTTAACCAAAAGTTCCTAACTAGTACCTGTAAAACCACTCACTTTGAATGTGCCTGGTATGGTGAGTGTGTAGGAAGAATGTGTAGAGAATTCTCTCTGGGCAGAGTGATTATTAGCTGCTATCAGATCATCATAGCACAAAAGTGTTTTTGTTATAGAAAGCTTAACACACTAACCTGACAGGCTCCTCTGTCCATGGAATTCTCCAGGCAAGAATACTGGAGTGGGTTACCATTCCCTTCTCCAGGGGATCTTCTCGACCCAGGGATCAAACCCAGGTGTCACGCATTGTAAGCAGATTCTTTACCCTCTGAGCCACTAGGGAAGCCTCTTTCCCTTTCACTTTCACTTATTGTAGTAACTTTGCTTGAATGTAAGCATTGCCCCTCGGAAATGCCATTAAAAAGCTTTCCTTCTGAAAAATGTAGTTTTGGTCTAATAATATACCTCTCTAATTGAGATCAAGAAGCATTTTCCATTTTAAGAAACATTGTACTAAAATTAATATACCTCGGCATTGTAAATAATGTGTAACATCTACAGACTCTAAGATGTAATTTTGATTTGTTTTCTTCTGTGGATAGTCTTCTCTTTATCACATATATATAAGTGTATAATTTGTAAATGTCTTTATAATGTATAAATTGCAAAAAATGCGTGGTATCCAAAGACAAAGCTAGATGTGGCTTGACTTAAACTGTTGATATCCTTTCTTTCTGTAAAATGTATTTATTTCTAAATTATTTCCTAGACAGTGTATTTTAGTATATAAAATTGATGTGTTACACTTCTTCAAAGTGATTTTAAATCATTTTAAGTTGAAATTTTGTCTCAATGACTGAATCATTTTTAATTACTGAGCTGTTTATTTTCAAACTTTATACTTAGACATTTGTCTATTTAAAGGTTGTTACGGAAAATTGGATTTGTTTGAATGATTGGAAGTTGGCATATCATTTCTCCAAATTAGTTGGTTAATTTTCTCCCAAACGAATTTAGGTAAGGAAAATGGTATCCCATTATATAAAGTTCATGAGTCTGAAATTTATTGACCTTTTGAAGCTGAAATGGATTAATACGTAATATGACTTTAGACAGCAGGATTCTTAGAAGTGTAAAAATAGTAAGAGCCAGACATCCTGGAATGTGAAGTCAAGTGGGCCTTAGGAAGCATCAGTACGAACAAAACTAGTGGAGGTAATGGAATTCCAGGTGAGCTATTTCAAATCCTAAAGATGATGCTGTGAAAGTGCTGCACTCAATATGTCAGCAAATATGGAAAACTCAACAGTGCCCACGGGACTGGAAAAGGTCAATTTTCATTCCAATCCCAAAGCAAGGCAATTCCAAAGAATGTTCAAACTACCTCACAATTACCCTCATCTCACACACTAATAAGGTAATGCTCAAAATTCTCCAGGCCAGTTCAACAGTATGTGAACTGTGAACTTCCAGATGTTCAAGCTGGTTTTAGAAAAGGCAGAGGAACCAGAGATCAAATTGCCAACATCAGCTGGATCATCAAAAAGGCAAGAGAGTTCCAGAAAAACATCTACTTCTGCTTTATTGACTATGCCAAAGCCTTTGACTCTGTGGATCACAATAAACTGTGGAAAATTCTGAAAGAGATAGGAATACCAGACCACCTGACCTGCCTCTTGAGAAACCTGTATGCAGGTCAGGAAGCAACAGTTAGAACTGGACATGGAACAACAGACTGGTTCCAAATAGGAAAAGGAATACATCAAGGCTGTATATTGTCAGCCTGCTTATTTAACTTATATGGAGAGTACATCATGAGAAACAAGATTTCCAGGAGAAATATCAATAACCTCAGATATGCAGATGACACCACCCTTATGGCAGAAAGTTAAGAACTAAAGAGCCTCTTGATGAAAGTGAAAGAGGAGAGTGAAAAAGTTGGCTTAAAGCTCAACATTATGAAAACTTAAGATCATGGCATCCGGTCCCATCATTTCACGGCAAATAGAAGGGGAAAGAGTGGAAACCAGCAGACTTTATTTTTTGGGGCTCCAAAATCACTGCCGATGGTGACCGCAGCCATGAAATTAAAAGACACTTACTCCTTGGAAGGAAAGTTATGACCAACCTAGACAGCATGTTAAAAAGCAGAGACATTACTTTGCCAACAAAGGTCCATCTAGTCAAGGCTATGGTTTTTCCAGTAGTCACGTATGGTTGTGAGAGTTGGCTATCAAGAAAACTGAGCACCAAAGAATTGATCCTTTTGAACTGTGGTATTGGTGAAGACTCTTGAGAGTCCCTTGGACTGCAAAGAGATCCAACCAGTCCATCCTAAAAGAGATCAGTCCTGAGTGTTCATTGGAAGGACTGATGTTGAAGCTGAAAACTCCAATACTTTGGCCACCTGATGCAAAGAACTGACTCATCTGAAAAGACCCTGATGCTGGGAAAGATTGAAGGTGGGAGGAGAAGGGGATGACAGAGGATGAGATGGCTCGATGACATCACTGACTCAATGGACATGAGTTTGGGTAAACTCTAGATTTTGGTGATGGACAGGGAGGCCTGGCATGCTGCAGTCATGGGGTTGCAAAGAGTCAGACACGACTGAGCGACTGAACTGAACTGACGAATATTAGGTTACATCCTTCTTCAGCCAACTCTAAGACATTATTCAAATTATATATCTGAAACTCCTGTACCAAAAGTTACTCAACAATATTTTGCCAGAAAGAGAGTTTAAAAACATATCAACCATAGCATTTATAACTAGATTTGACCATAGTTTGAATTTTTTCTCTACCAATGAATACCATAACAAAAGATTGATTTTAAATGTTCCTTCTCAACTTGAATATGGCCACACATTTGCAGCTTTCTACTGTACTTTCCTGAAACACTTCTGATCTATTTGACTTGACTCTTCCAGAAAATGTATATGTTTCTTGTTACTGTATCATCACTACTCTGCATGTATGGATTCAGAATGTAATTAGTCCATACAGTCAGCTCTAGAATTTTATGACACTACCATGTATCCGTGTAAAGTAAGCATTTGAAATATTATTTTAGGCTTGCATATACTTCTCAGGGAATTTAAATCACATATATGTGATGCTATTATCATAGATAATAAAATTATTTCTATTTTTACCTTTCCCCTGTCATCAGAAAAAAATAGTGGTTTTGGTCTATGCCATTTTTCCTTTCTTATGTTTATGTTTTTTATGTAATGGTACTGTGTCTCAACTTAGTACCATTCCATTATTTGTTATTAAAAGAATTTTGTTCATGTTTTCTCTCTGCTAACTATAACCCTCTAAGGTCATTGAAGTCACAAGGTGGTTTGTTTTTAACAAATTTCTTTTGTTTCAAAGTATTAGGCATGGTATATAAATTCATAATGAAATGTATTTTTAACACCAGTTTTGTAAACAACTGAAAAGCTGTAGCAGTTATTTGTTTGTTTGGGCCACCTCACGGGGCCTGCGGGATCTTATTTTCTCAACAAGGAATCAAACCTGGGCTCACGGCAGTGAAAGTGTAGAATCCTAGCTATTGGACCACCAGGGAATTTGCCCATGGCAGTTTTAAGTATGCCTCTTACCAGGTATATTCATTACATAGTTTCTCCATTCTGGATAGATCACTTAAATTGGATTCAGTTACAGTTCAGTAAATATGGATAGAAATTCCTTTTCTACCTAAAAAGAATTTAAGGAATTTCTTAAAGTTTACATTTTTATATGTGATGTGCTTAGTCAGTCATGTCTGACTCTTTGTGACCCCATGAACAGTAGCCCACCAGGCTCCTCTGTCCATGGTATTCTCCAGGCAAGAATACTGGAGTGGGTTGCCATTTCTTTCTCCATTATGTTTGATGGACATATGCAAAAGAGTTGAATCCTCATACATTTGGTTTCTTTTAATCGGTGTGTCTGTAACACTTGTGCTTTCTGCTTGTTAGTGGACTTGGTCAGGAGAACGTGCGTGTCTTTAAGAGTAACAGGACTGATACAGAACCATGTTTTTACTTGGCAGAGAGTATCAGGTACTGAATTTTCTGTTCCACAGCTGGGAAATTCACAGCAAATAAAGGGTTTGGTCAGAAATAGAAACCTGATACACCTGACACTTGTAGTATTTATTTCTATCACAAGTTCTTAGTTCTTAAACAACAACCTTGAATTTGAGAGCCATTTACAGAAAATTTTCTTATTTTTATGTTGTTAATAACCCAGTTAATGTTTTTCAAGTCATAGTTGCTGTGTCCTGAATGTATTCTAATTATTATTTTCGGTACCATACTAAATGGACTTAAAGGGAAACAAATAGAATTGTGTGTCCTTAGGTACTAGTAAGAACTAAAACTGAAGGCTTCATTTAGTTAATTATTAAATAAAAGTATGTTATCTTAATTGAAAGCCTATTCTCAAAGAATAGGAAAGGAAAGATGGATGTGCTAAATAAAGGAAGTGGATAACCAAGGAAAATTATTTTTAATACATAATTATTTAGGATCTAACATATGCAAGCCACTATGTTAAGTGTTTGGAAGTTGCAGAATTTTAGGAGACAATAATCCTTACCTTCAGGGAGCTTATGACAAGCAAATACTGTATTATATAAATAAATAGATGATAAAGTTTTCAGTCATTTGAAACTGCAGTATTTATTCTTTTGAGATACTATTCTTAAATCCCAACCTTAAGAAAATATATTTCACATCTAAAAGTAGTATTGCTTGTTCAGACTCAAAGGGCAATTTATGTTTAATCTTGGGTTAGACTAGTGCATGGTTGCAGTGTCTTCTCAATCTTTCTGAAAAT